AATACAAACACACTGGATGCAAAAAAAAGAATAAAAATTGCGGTTGTCATCATTCCTTACGTTTTATTTCCTCTTTGTTCTCTCATTCTCGGCGAAGAATGCTATTTTGGTTTGATATGTTACATATGACAGTTTGCACGCTATTTATGTTATTGAAAATGTTCTGGGCGAAAAAAAAGCCACAAAAAAACACAATTTTCAGCTAAAACACTTATGTGTTTTCAAGATACCTGGGTGTTCAGACAAGAGCATCGCAAATATTTTGGTAAATTTCGGTCTCTCTTCATTTTATATTGGTGTTATTTCTTTCTGTTGGTTCTCGATTTTTTTTTGTAACACATAGTGTTGAGAGGATTTTTTTTGTCGGTGCTATCGTTTATTTTCTTCTTCTTCCTTTTTACCGTATGGTACTCTCCTATACGATTCACAGTTCCAGTAAAACATCACATCGAAACGCGTATCATGCGCATAATTTTGTCCCTGACAAAACATTCCGATTGAGGTTGTGCAAATACTTTGCACTCTCAACAAAAACAAAACACAGAAAGACAGAGCACAAACATAACATTAAGACACATTGTGTCTCGCATTTATTCCGACACCATAAGAAAAACAAAAGTTCTAGATTACTTTTTGCATTCAAATTTAATGTCGGCTTTCATTATTTTCACGTTTTATGTATTCTAATCAACGATACTTACCAATGGGGACAGAGAATATTAAAATTTGCTCTCTCCTAACTTTTTGTTCGGCTTTCGCATTTGTTACTATTGTTGTTTTTCTCTACTCTCTCTCTCTCTCTCTCTCTGCCTTTTTTTCTTTTGTGCGCGCGCGATTTTGTTCTTTTCTTTCCGGCTGTTGTTCAAAAGCGTTTATTACATTATTGGTAACGCCATTAGCCATTAAACACAAAATCAATCACAAAACCAGATCTTTTCAGTTTGTTGTTTGCTTCTTGGCCCAGAAAAAGAAGTTTCCTCTCCGGTTTTTTTTTTCTTTGCTTTCGTTGACGATTTTTTTTATTCATTCAGAGTTTCGGAAAGGTTGATGATTCAATGCCGCATTGTCACTCATGCCTACGAGCAAAGTGCCATACTTTGACCGAAAATAGAGAGAAAGAGCGAGAAAGTGGGAGAGAGAGAGAAAATGAAAAAAACGCAGCAACTACGAGAATTTGGGCTCTTCTTTAAGGTGCGTTTTTTTTTCCTACATCCAAAATGAAAGTCGAATTATGTTGTGGCCCATAAGGCTGCCGAGCAATTGCTTGTGTGCAGCCGCATCATACATGGCCAAAGATATAACCTTTGATTCAACTTCGAACACGACGAAAGTGGTTCAAAAACTACAATGAGGCAATAAACGGGAACGACGACGAAAACAAGAATGTACGTACATGTGTATTGTCTTGAGTTCTCTTGTGAAAAAGAGATGTGCTGTTAAAAACAAATCAAAACTTTTTCCTCCAATCAAAATGTTTTGCTATTTGTTTATTTTAGAGCTTTGTTGGAACTGTTTAAGCTGACACACACACATATATACGTATACACAACCGATTCCACATTCCCTCGTCTCAATTCTCTATCGTTTGTCCATCTTGCTTTGACGCGTTCGTTTCACTGTAGTCCGTTCGGGACATTTGCTGTGCCCATTTTCACTTGTCTATCTTATTCCCTACACTCTCACCGTATGAGTCGGTGCTCCATTTTTTTTTGGCTCGGTAGTTTTATGTGCTCCAAGTTCGGAAATCTTTACGATTTGGTTGTTATGTGTGCATAATGCGTAGGTGAATGTTTTCATGATATCATTCGAATCGCACATTTACATCAGATTGTGTGGAAAGCTGGCGGCTAAATTTTCCACGACATCATCTACAGAGAAGGAAGAGGGATAGAGGATATGAGCAAGAAAGAAAGAAAAAAAATGATACAAAACTTTTATATTAAAAAAAAAAATACTAACGTACCCTTTCGACATACCCATCCGCAACGCATGAAAATGACACAGCATAAACCGAATCATTTGAAATACATGATCTGAGAATTGCCACGTATAGTAACAGTAGTTAAACCGTTTTTTTTTTCTTCAATTTTTATTCCAAACTGTTTCAAAACTCTCTCGTCCTTCTGTCTTTGTTGTTTTTTGTTTCTTCTTATTATTATTATTATTATTTCTCTCGTTCTGGAGCAGCGAGTTGACTATCATTGCTAAAATCAATCCTCATCATAAGCACGTTTTATGATTGGGGCGCATTTTGGGAAATCAATTTATTTGGAAACAATGAGTGAAGTTCATATGGAACGACATACGCTTGAGGATTTGGCTTAAGAATAAATTGAGCGACTAGAGCGCCAAATGCCTAATACCTAAACGAAACGCTTCAAACCAAAAGATGTTCTATCAAAATGTAATTGTATTAAATTTACCGTTTTAGGCTGCACACACACTTGTTGTTAAGTATTCCAAGAGTTCGTGCTCTTTCCTCAACGCCGAAATATGATATGGAGTGCGACTGAATACCACTGTGTATATAATGTTGTTCACTTATTTCAGCTGGATTTTGGTTGTGTAAAATATTCCCTTCATCCACCCTCATACTTCATACACATGTGCATATGAAGTGCAAGTTTTGCTATTTCGATTCTTCTGCTCTCCCAGTTTGTCGTGAGTCTTTTACACATATTGGTCCTCCACTCCATCAAACGTGCTCCTCTCATATACGGGTTCATGTAGCAGATTCAATTTTTACTTTGATTACTTTATAAGTGTTGTCGCAATGTATATTTGAATATCAAGACATTTCCATTTTGGTTCGCTTGTGATTTGATATTTGATTTGTCGTTAAAACAACGCACATCAAATGCTACTCCCAATAGTCAGATAGTCACTTTGGCATTGATTTTGTGATCCTTATTTTTGTTATTGTATTGCAATATAGAGTCATATATGAATCGTGATTTTTTCCTTTCTTTTACCCACACCAACCAAATACACATATCCATATGAAGGCAGTTATTGCTTTTGCTGTATATTTTCCTTACAATTTTACAATAGAGTGCATCGAAATTTGATGACTTTGGTGTAACCTTCTCTTCTGGCCCACGAACACCACACAAGTTATAACAATCGCGATTGAGATGTGCAGGAACATAAACATAATGCCGCCAAACGTGGTGTTACCATACAAAATACTGTCCAGTCACATTGCAAAATTGAATCCTTGCGATCGCGTTTCAATTTCTCGATGAAATTTGATTCCATGCCAATACACCTGTTGAACTTGGCGAAGAATACTGTAAATACGAATACTGCTGATTCATGGTCGACATTAGCTTTTGTAGCAATTCGTTTCTCGTCTTTTTTCGTCACTTTTTGTAACACCCTAATCAACAAGCTGGTTATATTATGTAATTCCTATGGTAGAAATTCCTTGAGCAAGCGAGCGCGCATATTGTTATCCTTGATGTTGATTTATGCTCTGTGAATGACTTTATGGGAAAACAAGACCAAGAAGTGAAAAATACAATGGCAATTCAAGTGGGATTTTTGCAAGGCTTCAATCCATTTTGTGTCGTCTTTCACATTCTTATCTATTTCACTTTTGCAAATATAAAACAACAACCAATCTCTTTCGTTCGCTAACTCTGGCTGAAGTTCAAGCATTCAATAATTTTTAAATTTTTTCTTTCTTTATTTCTTTTCTTCGTCACTCTCGGCTTTGTGCTCTCTTTGGTTATTTTGTTTTGTGTTTGGTTCATTCTTTTTCATGGTTATATCTTGTGTGCGTATGGCGTTTATTTGTTTGCTCTCTTATTTTCATTGGCTTGAAGACGAGAGAGGGAGAGAGCACAGTCGTAAACGAATACCATTTTATGAATCTTTAATCGAATTCCTCCCCGGCAGTTCGAATCCCGCAACGAAATGATGAGTATATGGTGATTATGGTCACAACAAAATATATGGATTTGTCGCAAATAAAGTGGAATATGTTTGGTTTTTTTCTCTCTCATCGATTTCGAATGATGGTAAAAGTCACAGCAACCAGTCAGTCAGCCAACCAAATCACTAGCCAAAGATATGGAATGCGCAAGCAAAGAAAAAATCACGAAAATTCTATTTTTATATGATGCCTTTGGTACACGTTACATGTTTTATTCATTTTTTTTATTTGTTCAGCAGAATAGTAGCGAATATTACCGGTTTTTCTGCCATGTATTTAAAGTGGATCTATTGAATGCTCTCACCCGGTTCACAGATTTATTATTCAACGACACACAAGCCAGGGTGACAACCGTTTCAACGGTTCGGCGAAATTGTTTCGCTTTTTTTTCTCTTTGTTTCTCTCTGTTTTTGCCTCTGTCAAATAGAGCCCGAAACGCTTAAAGTATGAGTAAGTCGCTTGAGCCAGCCGAGGGTATGAGTTATCACACTTGAACATATGTCAATTCAAAATGCACTCAAGATATTTAAGAGGATACAATTGTTGCTCTGTTCGGAGCAAGAACAGCGAGCAATAAAAACACGTATACACATATCTCAAAGGCGCTGAGCAACCGTCAATCCATTTTGGCATCGATATGTACTCAATTCGATTATGAGAGACAAATGATGGATTTGTCGACGACGAGAACAGGGGATAAATGGATTTTCTTTTGTTCTTGATTTGATGCCGCACCAAAACACACAGATTTTCTCTCTCACACTCTTTTCACTTCCACTCGCAAAAACATGTAAATATTTAGCGCCTTTGCGCACTGTTGACTTTCGACCCACAATAATTAAGATAATAGATTAATTCGCTGACAGCATTTTTTCCCATTGAATAAATGCGTCGGCACAAATTCCACCCTCGAAAATTGCGAACTGTTAACATTTGAATAAAAAAGCACGCACACTTCATTAAATATTTATTGAGAAAAAAGAACGTTTCTATTTTTCATCTCATCATTTCCTTTTCTCTTCCCGTTTCATGTCTCTGTTTTTTCGTTTTGCTGTGTGCACAGCATTTTTTGCAGCAAAACCAGTGAATGTAACAGAAGAAGCAGAAACAATACGCCCAACCTTTTGTAATGCTCGCACCACAGGCACCGGCATTCATAACAATTCTGTCTGTGTATTTTCCGCGAGCAACGCGGATTGGATAGTTTAAATACACGAACGTGATTTGAAAAAGATTTTAAAAGATTATTTAATATAAAAATAAACAGCAGAATTTATTGCGATACAGAACAATAGAGCACGAGAAAGAAACGTGTTGTGTGTGAGGGAAAGAGAGACAGAGCGAACAGACTACTGCAAAACTGTGTGTTGAGCAAAAAAGCACGTTACGAGTGAACATTACACAGAAATGGAAACGTTAAGCTCGGATCACGCACTTTTCTTAGTTGCCAATTTTTCGGAAAAATCAACGATTTTAGCGGCGGCGGCAACAGCAACCAGCACCATGGCCGATTTATTCGACGTCACGAATTCCACGAATGCGACAAATTCCACGTCATCCATTGACCAACCAACAATAACACACAAAATCGATTGGACTGATTTGGTTTTGGCATTGTTGCTCTGTGTGCTCATTGTGGTAAGTGGAATCTTTTGCATTTCAATTTTTCATGTGGTTGTTTTGTTTTGGATGTGTTTTTCTTTCTCTTTCTCTTCTTCTTTTTCACCTCATATCACCATCATCCATTCCAAGGACATCAGTACGAATTGTGGCTTTCATCAACCACCATCACTGACCACAAACATCATTTAATTATTATTATTATCATTATTGTTGTGTTCGAACAGATAACCGTTATTGGAAATACATTGGTGATATTGTCTGTGCTGACAACCCGACGATTACGTACTGTTACCAACTGTTTTGTGATGAGTTTAGCCGTAGCCGATTGGCTTGTAGGCATCTTTGTAATGCCGCCAGCGGTTGCCCTGATGCTTGTTGGTAAGTGGACTTTATTTGTTTCGTTTAATGAAAAATGCACTGAGAAATCCGATTTATTGGATTTCGAAATGACACACACACACACAGAGAGAGAGAGAGAGAGAGAGAGAGAGAGAGAGAGAGAGAGAATTCCAGTGATCGATAGAATAGTTTTGTGTGTGGCAAATCGGATTTCTAAATATTGGCATGCTTGCAAAGGTTTGATGTGCACCTCACACCTCTTGAATAATTTCTCTGTGCGGGCATATCAAGACCACACGAGAAACATTTCCGTTATCATAAGTATCTCAAGCGAATCCTCAGTTTATAAATACAGGGTGAATTGCGAAGCAAACTAAGAAATTATGGTATAATCTTTCGATTGCAGCTTGTACCTAATTGACGAAAAAAGCCTTCGATAAGCTCGCAATGTTCATACGCGCGATATTGATGCTTACTCAACCCACACGCACAATTAAGCGAAAACCATACAGTTGCGCAATTTCAACACAAGCCGCATATTTCAACAAGTATTTTAACAATTTAGACTAGACTTCGCCGTTCAAAGTTCAAAATTCCCATTGCCGACAGAGAAACGTAAAGAGGGCAGGATGTGCGGTTTTGAGTTCATTGCATTATAAATTTAGATCCAAAACTGCAAATCTGTTCGAGTTAAACAAATCGAGAAGTACAATCTCAAGAATGTTCAGAATGTTACCCCAGCCAAATTAATTTGGTTTCATCGTGTGGCGTATGAAAAATTTCGATACCAGAAAAAAAGTACATTAAATCATAAATTCACTGCATCATTGCGTAGGAGTATACTACTACTAATGGCTATAGCCATTATGGAGGTTTAAAAAGAATAAATTGCTAGACGATTCTTAGAAAAATGACTGTGATTATTATCTTGATGACACAAAGACACATTTTGGATTATCAAAAAGATGAAATGCTCTTGTGGAAAATTTCCTTTCTAATAAATCTACTTCAGTTCGAATGAATGCGTTATTTTTTGCGTCCGACACCTTTTTGGAACACAATGAAAATGAGCAAAGTGCGTATAATAAATCCCTGATTTATAGACCACATTTACACGCCTTCAGCTTTAACAAAAATGGAGCAATGATACGCATCTTAGATTTATATCTCTGTCAATAAAATGATGGAAAAAGAAAATATTTGTCTTTTCACAAACACTCACCCACTCGCACATACACCAAGATAGTGACGCATGAATAGCGAAATCGTTTCACACCAAACGGTTTTTCTCCGAATCATAAGGAACTTATCAAATTCGCCTCTTCGGTGAACAGAAAAAACGGAAAAAATAAACAAACAGACGATGGAACGTTTCATTTTTTTTATCATTTCTTTCGACTCTTTATGAAATCTCTCCTGTAATTACGACTCGCTTTTTTCTACTACTATTCAACAGTAATTTTATTATCGTAGTGCTGTAATGGCCACTTCAAACGGTACAATTAAAGGTTCTGTCATTCACAGGTTTCACTGTGCGTGTGCGTGCATTCTGTTGTCGATGCTGTTGTTATTGTCGTCTGTTTTGATATCTTATCTGTATCCATTTCGTTCTCTGTGTGTTTTTTTTTCTGGCGTTCAATGAAAATTGATAAGTGTTTGTGAAATACAAGCGTCGCAAATTTTTCTCAAATAAATAAACAGGTGCACAATTTTGACAAGCACATGATGAAAATGCGTCATAAAGAGAGAAAATGAGTGAGAGTAAGAGTAAGCGTGAGCGTGAGCGTGAGCGAGCAAATGAATGAGCGAAGTACATTTTGATAGATACGAACAATAAAAATATCTATCGATTTTTCATGGTAAAATTGCAATAAACGGAGGGAATAAGACAGTGCGGAAATATAATCGCATTATCTCAAAAAACCAATCAAGCAGCCGTTGTATCTCTCCCTCTCCCTCTCCCTCTCCATCTGCTCATTCTACTTTGCATGATGGAAATTATAAATTGGCATATTTTCATCGAAAAATATTGTCCATGAAAAGTACGCATTTAGCGTCGTTAACCTATGCAAATTAGAACTCTCTGAACTGTATAAATAATATGGCAATAATAGTCGAACATTTTATGTAATAATGAGGGATAGATAAATTATTATCTACGTTGAAGTGTACTTTTGTGTACCGTTTATTCTCTTAGCAGCGAAGCAAAAACTAAGCGCAGAGGTTCCGCACTGTGCTGTGTGCGCGTTAAGAAAATTTGATGTAATTTGAATACTTGTTTGTATAATGGTCCACGCTCTCTCCCTCTCTCTCCCCTTATATACCAACAACAACGGGATAGTGACGGAAAAATACACACACACACACCTCCTATAACATAAGAGTCGGAAAATTTTCACGGTAAACTTAGAATCGTTCTCAATTCAAGAATTTTAATTGAAATCATTATGATATCATGACGCCAAACAAAGTTATTACCAAATTAAAATTATAATTTAATTCATAAAAGATGTTTGAATTGACGCATTCAATGCTAGAAACTAAAGTAATTTACAGAGATTCATTGGCACTCGAAAACTTTTAAAATAGGTCAAAAATAAGTCAACACATGAAAATCTTATGCTGAAAAATTTCACTCCCTCTTTCTTTGCATGCTTCGTCATTCTCTCCCCTTCCCTCTACATCCCAGTCGACAGTCATCAATCCAAATGTAATGCGCACAGGATTAAATGTACCATATCGATGGCAAAAAGAAATATTGAATGCATTTACATTCACGGAAAATATCATAACTTGATTTGACTCAATAATAGCAAAGTTTTGCCATTTCACAAAGTGTGCGATATTTTGACAGAAATGTCTGCACTTTCTTTTATTCTTTTCCTTTATTTGATTTCACTTTCTACATTCCCGTTCTTCTATGTCTTGCTGTTTCTCCGTTCGGCAAATGCAACGATGTTTTCTTTCTTTCTGAGCTTTCTGGGTGCGAGAAATGGAGACCAAGGCTTTCTATATGCCCATAAAGTGATGAAGCTTTTATCTTTATTCGCCAATATAAATTTATATGCAATATAGCCCAAATATAGAGCGTATACCCAGGGTTATATGTGAAATATGCACAAAAAACACGGCAATTATACACCCATATACGTGGCCATTTGTATTTATATGAAACAATTGTTTGAAGTTGGAAGCCCCTAGCCCACATAGACGATAAATAGATAGGCAAATTTAAATTCAGCCAATCATCGTTCAGCCTACGCTTCATTGACAGTTTTATCCCGGCTAAATAAATCCTCATTTGATGAGTAAACACTAAACACAGTGTATTTTGCAAAGCATATCGTAAGTAAATCGATCGACATGGGCCACGAAACGAAGAAACCAAATAGAATCACATCAATACCGCCACTCTGTCTTACTGCTGACGATTTTCAAAGCCATTGCGAAAAGAGAAAAAAAAATCAAATCAAACACACACTCACCAACTAGTAGGAAATGGATCCAATAACAATGTGTGTCGGTCAATAAAGATTCCCATTCCCCGGCAACGTTGATCGAAAATTAAATCAACATTTAAATACGGATGTGCTTGTAATGCATTTTCATATCATACTTTGATGTATAACGAAAATCAGTGGGATTTCCAGCGTGTCACGACAATTTTGCACCGTAAGTGCGTTAAAATACCGCTTCAGGCGCCTGAGTTAGCAAATTCAGCTCAGCTCAGGCCTACTCAGCAGTAAATATGCAATCTCTGGTTTATGGAATAAAGCATGCTAGATCTGGCATGGACAATTGAATTCATTTTTTTTTTTGGAAGAGAAAATACCTCTGTATATATGTATGCAATTGTTTTGGTCGTTGAATTCTTGAAAATATTCTGCGATGTTTAAATTGTAATGCGATTTTTGCATGTTGATTCAGATTCAGTGTGTGTACACTGTACATATGAGCAAAAACACGAAAATCGGGAATGGTTAGAAATTTTTTTTTTATTCAAATATCGCGGTACTGTGGTCTTTTTTCTTTAAAAGTGATCCTAAAGTATCGGCCAATACCATTTTCATATGAAGGTAGGCATTTATAGTGTGCCATTTCAACGTAGTTGTGCTTGTGCCTCGTTTTGTGTCAAAATAAGCGAAAATACACAACCGAACAAAAAGTCAATTTAAATATATAATTTTCGTTATCATTGCTATTATTCAATTTTATTTATTAGATTACGATGTAATCGTGCTATTTTGGCAAATTTTGCAATGAATACATCTTATTCATGTGCATTTGAAGGCTCTGAAAGGTGCCGCAAATTGGAATGTAACCTTCCAGTCTAAAATTCCCGAAAGTTTTTTTCATGTATACCTTTATCAAGAATAATGACGCTATATTAGTTTTTTTTAAGAACTTTCTGCCTATTTTCTGGAAAATAAAAAATATTAGTTACTTTATTTGACTAAAACACTTAAACGAGCCTTCAGACATGTGTAACGAGCCAGTCTTTGTTACATGTTACATTGAAAAAATCGAGATCATTTGATGACAGGTTTTTTCTTTGTAAACCAATCCAGAACTGAACACCACAAAGAATGATAACACTTCTATTCTTTTTCTACCCATTTGAATCAATTTTGAGTGTATTATTGCATTTATTTCAACCGTCGATGTACTTTGTAATGATCCAGTCTTTTATGTGTAACCTTCCAGTCCTTTTTTTGATCAGAGAAATCGGAATCGTTTATGACAAATTTCTATTACAAATCGATTCCAAACCAAAAATCATGATAAATTCTCGTATTTCTATTTTTTATCGACTGATTTGAATCTAATTTGAATTTGATATTTGGTTTATTTAGCCCGAGGAATTTTGTGTAACGAGGCAGTCTTTTTTCTGTAACCTTCCAGTCCGTATATTTTGGATCATAGAGCGACCCGAATTGATTTTTATGGGGTAAATATGGTTTCGTTCGTTTCTTTGATCCTTCAGACAGCGAACAGAACCTTGGAGTACAAGGATGCTCTGCTGGAGGAACTGGATTTTA